AATATCATATATCACATCAAAAATTTCTCACTCAATTCAAAACTCTTTTCAAAACCACCAAACAAATTTTCCACATTCAAATCGTAATTCCAAAACTTACAAACTTAAAATACAACTCTTATTCTCAAATCATATTTGGAAAACTCTACCGAACGCTACCCTATTTTTTCTTTCAGCCACACCATTTCGTTTACGAGTTTTAGGAGTAGAAAAATTATGATCAATTATGCCATACTCATCACAAAACAGAGTAAAATCATCATTATCAAATTATCTGCCATGATCACTTCTAATACTACAAATGACAAGATTAATCACATTTTGAATATGTTCACAAAGAGCAGAAAATGCATAGTGGGTATCACTTTTATGTGCCAAAAAAATCATCTATATAAATCTAGTGTAATTATCCACATAAACAAGACAATATGATTTACCACCAAGGCTTAAAGTCCTAGATGGTCCAAATAAATCAATGTGTAACAATTGAAGAGATCTAGATGTAGATATAACATTTTTGAATTTGAAAGAAGTTTTTGTTTGTTTTCCTTGTTGATAAGCATTGCAAAGTTAATCTTTTTCAAAATCAATCTTTGGTAAACCAATAACTAAATCAAAATTTGAAAGTTTTGAAAGCAAATCTATATGAGCATGTCCTAATCTTCTATGCCATAACCAACCTGATTCATTTATAGCAGATAAGTACTTAAAATCATCATTGAAAGATAAACTATGCAAATCAAATAGATATACATTTTTATGTTTATGACCTATAAAAAGCACTTTGTTATCAACCAAACTTTCAATAGTGCAATGAGATTTTTCAAAATTAACTCTATTACCTTTATCACGTAATTGACTAATACTAAACAAGTTATGTTTCAAACCTTCAACTAACAAAACATTCTCAATAATGGGTGAATAAGTTTTACCAATAATATCTACACCAATGATCTTTCCTTTGCTATTATCTCCGAAGGTTACATGACCTCCTTCTTTGGATTTAAGGGATGAGAACATTGCTTTATCACCAATCATGTGCCTTCAGCACGCGCTGTCAAGGTACCAACGGTTGTTAGATTTTGTCCTAAAGCACACCTGCAAGAATTAGATTTTTGTTGGCCTTTTGGTACTCATTCTTTCTTGGGTCTATGAAAGTTAGAATTTGAAGTGTTTTTGGGAACCCAATTTTTGTTTTGTTTTGTTTTGTTTTTTTTTTTTTCATTTTAACAAAAGAATTTTTCTTAACAGGACATGAAAGAGAGGTGTGACATTTTCTTCCACAAAATTGACATGTGAGATAAGAATGACTAGATGATGTATGAACAATAGTCTTTTTGGGTTTTTTCACTTTTGAAAATGATTCATACCCAATCCCAACTCTTTCAAATGTTTGAATTTAACTTTTGAAACTTTTGTCTAAGGTATCTCTACACTAAGTAAATTTTGAAAGAACATTTTTCAAGCCTTCCATGTTTTTGTTTAATTCTTTTTTTAAAATCTCATTTTCTTTTTGCAAATCATTTAATTTCTTTTCAAAAGTGGAAGACTCTTTCAAAATTGAAACCTCTTTCACTTTTTTCATTTTCGAAGTTTCATTTTCTAAAGCATTGATCTTTAAAGTCAATGATTCATTTTCTTGTGATAAACTTGAAATCATTTTCTTTTGACAATTATTTTTCAAACTCAATTTTTTAAATTCAGCATGTAATTCATCAAAATCAATTTATAATTCATGAAACGTAAAAGATTCGTCATTTGCCTTATCGTCATCTGTAAGTGCTATTAAACATAGGTTAGCAACTTAATTTTTGCAAGCTTCATTTTCTAAGTTGCTTTCATCACTATCTTCTTTCCATGCTGCTCATGGCTTTCTTCTTATCCTTCTTGAATTGTTTCTCCTTCTAGAACTCCTTAACAAAATGGTGTGGTTGAAAGGAAAAATAGAGTTCTCGAGGAAATTACTCGTACTATGCTTTGTAAAAATGATTTGCCTAGATATTTTTGAGTTGAAGCCGTTAATACTGTATGCTATGTTGTAATTCGTGCTGTGATTAGACCTATTCTCAAGAAAATCCCATATGAACTCTTGAAACAAGCACAATGAGCGTGGTATGAATGGTGTGATTGATGTTTTGTGAAATTTGTTTGTAATGTTTGTTAAATTGTACAGAGCAGATCAAATAGAACCTGTTGAGTTAAAAAAAAAAAAAAATACTACATTTTCTACTACAGGCATAATAGGTCATTATATTACATATTTTAGACGTACAATTAGAGTTGTGATTTGTCCCAGGAATTTAGGGTGTGCAAAAGTAGTTGTAGAAAATCAAACATAACGCACAAGATTCGTTGTTTAAGGGTTTTTAATGGCGTGCAAAAGTAGTTGTAGAAAAATTAAATATGACTCACAAGATCCGTTATTAAAGGGTTTTAACGGCGTACTAAGGCAAGACGTTGAAGTGAATGACTTTCTATAACTGGTTATAACATGACTTTACATCGCGTGTCGTAGAATCATATCCACGACATGTATTATTGCCGTAAAAACCCAAATTTGTTGTAGTGAGTATGATTTGTTGCCTCTTTCTATAATCACAATAGTTATGTATATATTAAGAGCAAATTACGCTAGTAGTTCTAGTATTTTGGTTTTTATATCATTTTGGTCTATGTAATTTCAATTGGCTCAATTTTGACCATGAATTTATAATTTTGTCTCAATTTAGTCCATTTGATTATAGCTGTTAATAAAATTTTAATGAAAAATATGCACGTAAGTGGCGTATCATGATTTTAGGGATAAAATTATAAGTTTGCTCAACCTAGCGAGTCAATCTCAATCAATTTAGTGATCATTTTCCATCAAAAATACTAACGGGGTTATCAATTAGACTAATTTGACACAAAATCTAAAATTAAAAGTCAAAATTGAGGCAAATCGAAAATGTAAGGGACCAAAATGACATAAGATGCAAAATATAGGAATTACAGATGTAATTTGCACTATTATTAATTTTGCTTTTGAATCTCCATATACTTGTGTTACAAAATATTATCCTTTTTTGTCATATATATATATATATATATATATTTAAACACTAACAGAATGTTACTTGTACGTATATTCCTTGAGAAAACACAAGGCTTGCATAATTATGAACAACTGCTTGACAACTTTAATAAGCTATAATGATGTTTTTTTGTTATGTTATTATCAATAAGAGTTTTCTTTGTTGATCAAAAAAAACTTTAATAAGCTATTGAGAGGGTAATTTATGTGAAAAATTGGGCCGAGCTGGGTAATGGGCCGTTATGAGCCGTAGTACAAAGGGCCGAGTAAAATGGCCATGTAAGTTACTCCGGTCGTGTGGTTATTTTGTAGATAGTCCGGTCCTTCTTGTGAAGAAGGATTTTTGAATTATGAAATATATATATATATATATATATAAACAAGATTGCAATTGATGAAATAATAATCTGTAAGACCATACCTATAGTGTGTTTTGAAACATCTTGTTGAACCATTTCATGAAGGAAAAGAGGCATTAAATTTATCATGACTTGCTTTCTTCAATTACATTTGCGTAATGTTCCTTGCTACTTTCAATTGTACTTGTACGTTGGAGACAACATATCATAATAGATTTGAGCTTAATAAACAATCCACTACTAAGTTGGAGCATTGTTAGAAAACTAATGCAAGTACTCTTACAAAATTCTTGTACTCAGGTTTTATATAGAATACAAAATGTTCTGTTGGATAACAATGAAATCCATGTAAGGACTAAAGAGAAGTTGGATAAAAAAGTTCTATCTCCCTAATAGATAATCAAGTGGTTGATCAAATAAGTCATGATTTGCGCATAATGTTATACTTTAGAATTGATGTAAAATTAATTTTTGGATTCCAGTTTAGATAATGAAAGCATTTCTCCCACCTATCCTATTCGTGTTTTTTAAACATTTAAAAATTCCGTTTAAAAAAAAAAATCAAATATTGGGAAAAGGAAACCATGTGCAATGCACGTGCATCACCAATAATGATGTATAAATATTTGGAGCTTTGTTTCATTAAGTAAAGGCGGGGGCAGGGGAGTTAGGGTATGTAGAAGTTTCTAAGGTTGTGGGAGTATGCATATAGTTTATGGCAAAATTCATTTTATCTTTTTGTGGTTTGTAGCCAAAGCACTCTACAGTATGGTTCAAATTTAACCGGAAAGTTCCTATGAGATTTTGAACAAAAGTGCAACCGTTAACTTTGTTAACTACTGATGTGAAATGACTATAATATTCTCAAGCCCTATGCCTTTTTTATTATTTTATTTATTTTTCTTCTCTCGTACGCATAATTTATAATTCGTAACATTATATCAATTAAATTACAATTAATCATAAGTCTTTAATTATTTATTGGTTTTCTTAACCTTTTGATTTACTTTTAATTTAATTATATTTTAGTTCACAATTAATTATAAATTCATAATTATTTATTGTAATTCTTGACTTTTTAATCTAATTTTGGTTAGCGCCACAAGCAAGCTTTATTTATTTATTTGTATCTGTCATAATAATAATGATTCACTGCTAGCAGTAAACAATAGAGTGAAATTAGTGCTGGCTTCATTAGCTTTACATGCTGGAGATCTAGACCTATTTTCATTCATAGCAGTATATCAGTATGTAACCAAACTATAGGGTCAAATTTTGGTACGAGTCGGCCACTTTTAATTCCTTAGGTCCAAGTGAACTAGTTGATCAACAAAGTGAATTGATTTGTGTCTTGTGAAGGTTGTGATGGTGGAACTTGGCTCACTTTTTTTTTTTTGAACGGCAACGACAATCTTTATTGATGGAAGTAAACAAAGAGGATACAAGACATCAATAAAGAGGAGCTTGGAGCTAACAGAAGCTCCAAGCGCCTGTTGGAGCTTGGAGCTTGGCTCACTTACTCGCATAAACTAAGCTTAGTTTGCAAAGGTTTGAATTTTTTGAAACAGCAAAAGAAACCTTTATTGATGATCAGACCATACCAGATGAGATTACATCAAAAAAGGAGAGGAAGGGGTTTGGAGAGGAACCAAACCCAAACAGGAAAAGAAAAAACAAAGTAGAGAATAAGCAGAACAAAGCAGAATAGACAAAATGCAAACAAGGACCTGCACACAGCTCCTCACACACCATCAGAACACTTCCAGGGGCAGTAGCAAGAGATTCAGCAGACCATAACAACAGCCCAGAACAACATATGAATAGGCCTCAGAAAATACAAGCAGAACCCAATAAGAGTCACTTTTTCAATTTTATTTTAATAGATGGGATTTGAACCCAGGTATTTTTCATGGTAAGCCAATTCTTAGCTTGCCCGAGAGACTAGTTGTTTTTTTTTTTTTTGATCGGCAAATAAATCTTTATTGATGACACATACAAAGTATGATTGGATACATCAATAAAGAGGAGCTTAGAGCTAACACGAAGCTCTAAGCGCCAGTTGGTGAGGAACCAACACAAGAAAACAAAAGGTGCTACTTTAAAGACAAAAAATGCTGCCACCAAAAGCCAGGTAGGGTCCTAATAGGCTTTCAACCCCTTACCAATCTACCCATGTGCATGCAACCCATTGACCCTTCCACGATGACATTCGTCCCAATGAAACACCCAGCAAGAAACTTGAAAGAAGACTCCAACTTCAGACAGAAATACCCAGCATTACTCAGCTAAGCAGTCCAGCAATGAGCTACCTAGCAGCAGACAGGTATGGCACATTCTCTCACAGCAGCAGACAGATACAGCAGCAGACTACCACTCACCAGACTACCACTCCACTGCTGGACCCAAGAGACAGCATCACAGCCACATCTGATAGCACCACATATCAGCCCCGCAATCAACAACCCCAATTGAAACAATTAAATCCACACAGCCCAGTAAGAACAACTTCATCAAGCTCCTTTGTACAGCCTTCCACATCAGACCAGAGACCTTCCACTTTACCCCTACACACCTGTTCAGTGCAATTTCTCAGCCCAAAAACTGAGCATCACACTGCCTCACATCAGCCAACCCTATGTATTATTTTGCCCGAGAGACTAGTTACTAGTGTTTATATACTAAATAATGCTTCTTTTCGTTAGTTTTGTTATGTGTGCTTAATAATGCATCTTTTCATTTATTTTGTTAGTTTTCAGGTTGTAGAATTATGGTGTAAAAGCTTTACTAGTACTGTGACAACACAAAAATGCAAAACAAAATGTTTGCTTGATTGGGTTGTGGAACATCAAATAAATTATTCACAGTTTCAAAAGTAAGGACAAAAATTTAATATGGTTCACACAATGGTATAGTAGAGCCACAAACATTCCTGATTGAAGACAATAAACAAGTTTTGCCAACAATGATAGAGAAAGTTGATAATAACATACACCAAGCATCAAACTCAAAACACGGAAGTGAGTACAATAACATAACATAAAATCTCATATCACTGTATCTCTTAGAGTTCTTGTTTTTTGATTTGTATACATGTTAATTATGGTCTAAACAGATTTTTCTTATTTTTGAAGTAATATTCTAGATAGATGAACTATAGCAATTACTTATTCAATTGATTTAGATCTAAAAAATTGAAGATTGTTTGAGGTGTGTGGCACCTAACATTAGGAGATAATTCGGTGAACCTCCAAATTAGGTTATGAGATTCTTGTTCTTCTCGTTTACAAGAACCAGCAAAATTACTGTTTAGCCTATATTTTACTCTATCAAGCCTTAATAAACTCTAATTAGTTCAACCTTTCATACTTCATTTAAGATGTATATTTTATTTTATTTTATGCCCTCAGTTGCTCATCCTCTCCTTTTTCAACTTTATATTTGAACAGTTGCATATATATATATATATATATATTTAATGGTAGTTTGTACTGCTTCTCTTTTCTTTTTCTTTTTTTTTGGTAAATATGTCGGTGCAATTCTATTTATTTTAGTAAATAGCTTAAATATGCTGTTTCATGAAATGTATGGTGCAACCTTTTTATTTCGGAAGCAGTATGCTTGATTGCTTTTCAGTATGTAATAGAATTTGCATTATGGTGTTTTTGTTGAGGTAGGATTCAGTAACATGTACCATGGTCAATGAACTTACTGATACTTCATATGATACATTATGTGCTTATTATGCACTTGTTTGTTATAGCATATATTAATACTAATATATAAAATATGTTATAGTAGTTTGCTCTTTTCATGCTAACATGCTGTTATAAAAATCATGGATTCTCAATAGTTACTTTTCTTTCATATCAGTAGAAAATAACTTTTAATATTAGTCTAGTAACTAACACTAGTGGTACTATCAGTGACGAATGACAACAACATAATACATGTTGCTTCCTTTAAAATTGTCTCAATTTACTACCTTCTCTTATTTATTATTATTATTTTTTTTAATTTATTTAAAGACATCTTCCATTACAACATTTTTTACAATGGTAACTTTGTATAAGTTAACTTGATTGTTTGCTGATGCATGTATATAGCTTCTCTTACTATTAATTGTAGTTGTGATAGATCTCTTAGTCTCTTTTCACTTACCCCCATTGAAGTGCTCTTGTTTTACCTGCACAATTTTACTTTTTGGATCATACTTCATGGATGGCCATGGATGATTAATTACCCAAAAAGAGGTCACGGATGATCAAGATGTAATAACTTAATCCATAAATAAACCTCGGTATTTTTTTCTTCCCTACTGATGATTAGAGGCTTATAAATAAGAAATTATTTAGTGTTTGCACAATAGAAATGTTTTCCTAGGTACCAATCCCATCATTTTAGCATCCTAATTCTATAAGAATGAAGGTTCTATTGTTTGGGTCCTATTTGCAAATGAATTTTACAGTATTCTGATTAGATTTGTTTTAACTTATTTCTTTTGGTACATTGGAAGCCATAGCTTAGGGGAGGGGAGCCTTACTTGTGGCAAGACTTCATTCCTTGACTTCCTAGCGAGATGTAAGGATTTTGACAAACTAAGTAGCCTCTGTTGTTTTTTGTTCACTTTTTGGTTCTGGTATTTTTGTTTTCTTTTTCTCTGTTGTTGCTAGTTGGAGCCTCTCCAACTGGTTTGTTCTTTGGGTTGGGCAAGTTCTTTTATGCCAAACTAGTTGGGATGGATGTGCCTTGCGATGATGCTTTTGGCATTCTCCCGGTTCTATTGTATTTTGTTTTGTTGTTCATCCATAAATTGCCTTTTGTTTTGCGGATTAAAAAATAAATATACACTTTGGTTTAATGGCTACTTGTCTCACTGAAGACACTGTTACAATACGACTTAAGTATTTGGGATGAGATTCTCTATTCCCAAAATGTCTATCTATTCGCTGTCCAATATTCTGTAAATAGTTTTGGAAGAATAACTTTTTGTGAATTTTTGAGCAGAGTTTTGTATTCAAAGACTGCCAAATGCAACGCCCTTTCCAAGTTTCATACAGAATATGAAATGTTCAACTGCTTAGGTATGAGAGCTAAGATGTTTCATTGGAGGTTGTCTTATAACAGTATGTCATTGTGGACATTGGGTGGAACTAAAATCAAGACAACGTATATATATATTTAGTTTGTTTACTTCAAATCAAAGGCATCATGGAGATCCTTTTTTCTACCATTATATATAAATCAAGATACAATATTCTATTTATGTAGATTCATGGCTTCCTGGACTGATTCGAATCTTCAGCAGCTTCTTTGAATGATATAAGATCAGTTATCCTTGTGAAAATTTCTACTACAAAACAGTTTTCACAATTTTATTTTTTTATTTTTAAAATGTTCTTAACGCAGTAGGTACACCCTTAGCATGTACGCTGGGGAGGACCTACCAAGGGACTGGTAGGGGCTTTTTGGTGCTGTTCTGTTAGAGTGTGTTTTGCTGATCTGTTATCTGTTGCTGATCTACCATTGTGATCTGCTGTTCTTTTCTTTGTTGTCTTTCTTGGTTGTTTTCTTTTGGGGGTGCTTGGCATGTAATAGGATGGGCTTTTTGGTACCAACCTAGTTGGAATGATCTAGTTCATTGTGATGCTTTGTGCACCCTCTTCTCTTTATTGATGTTTTAATGTATTTGTGTGTACAACTTGTACCTTTTATCGTCATCAATAAAGTTTCCATTTTTTTTGCCAATCAAAAAAAGGGGACTGGTAGGGCCCCGGCCAGCCCGCAAAAATAAATAAATAAATAAATAAATAAAAAGGAAGAAGTTGTCTACAAAATTTTTAATTTTTGTAATATACTTAATGTAAAGTTCAGGTAAATTTAATTAGGACTTTTTTTCTTTTCTTTTTTTTTTATAAAAATAAAATTTTGGTATTTTTTTAACTGTACATGCATACTATATTTTAGTACTACAAATAGTATAAGTTTCAGACTTAGAGAAAAAATACCCAAACAAAATGTATTAAAAAGTAACTAATAAATTATGAAAACTATATGTCAATTAGACTTTCGAAATTGTTCCATTATGAAATGATATATATCGAAAAAATTTGTGAATAATATGTAAGATTCATAATTTGGCCGCCCTCGAGTCACCTTTCTGGTTCCACCCTGCCTGTATGGTTATTGCATACATGACCTAGTGGCTATTACTAATTATCACTTGTCTTCTAACCATTAGTGATCCAATATTTCACACAATAATGCAACATTCTATATGATGTATTAGCCTCAACAATATGGGCTTTTATCAAGAAAATATGAGGAACTCATTGTAGGATTTTCTTCTCCTTTTTCATTGTTGCAGAGTTAGGCACTGAAGCATTGGGAATATATTGGATCGTATATATATGTCAATGCAAATAAAATTATTGGCTATGTTTGGTTTCATTTTTCTAAAAACAGTTTTTAGAAAATTCTACTTTCTTATTTTGCGTGTTTTTTTGTTTTTATTGAATTTTTTTAATATTTTATGCAATTTTTTTACTTTTTAGACACACCTAGCATAAATACACCTAAAAAGTAAAAAAATTGTAAAAAAAATCTTTTAAAAATTCACTAAATACCAAAAATACAAAAAAAATACAAGAATTCAATACATTTTTTGTATTTTTATGTATTTCTTAATTTTTTAAAATATTTTTTCATATTTTTTTTACTTTTTTAGATGTATCTAAAAAAGTAAAAAAATATATTTAAAATTTTAAAAATATTGACTAAAAACAAAAAAATACGAAAACCAAAAAACTCAATTTTCAAAAAACTTAATCCAGAAAACTCAAACCCAACACACTAAATTGAGTCCATGGTGAAAATAAATTTGTCAAGAGGTAATAGTTTCAGTGTTTGCAAATTGCTAGTTTACAGCTGATACTCTTTTCTTTTTCTGGTGCTCTTCTTCTTTTTTGTGTTTGATCTATAAATTGCTTAGCATCTTTCATTTGTTGCAGGCAGGGATCGATTCGATTCACAATGACAGCCATCATGGTGATAGCAGATTTAAAGATCAATATAAATCATTCTTTTCAAATATTTTCTCTACATCATGACATGATGAGCCTCTTTAAAGACTTCCAAGTTTGTTCATTTTGCTAGTCCAGTCATTGCGTGGGTGGTACAAAAAACTGGAGGTATGAAAAATTGTGAGCTGAGTACTTAGTTGTTTTGTTCTATGCTTGAGCTACAAATTTTTATTTTTTTAATTTTTATACATAGTTGTCTAGGATTGTCTGGTAAACTATTGAAATGTCAAGATTTGTCATTTTTGGTGTGGTGAAGCTGCTTCAATGTGTGAATGGTCTGGACTATTATGGTGGTGGGTTGTCTATCAATGCATGGAGGCAGAGCTCTGTTTTGCTGATTGTTTTTTTCTGCTGTGATGTGAATGGAGACTAGTTGTTATTTTGATTAGAAATTGCAGTTATCCATTTGCATTGATTATTGGTTTGAATATTGGGTGTATTTGCAATGGTTTCTGTGGGGTGCGCTTGGTGGAATGCTACTGATGGGGTTTTTTGGTGGAAGTCTGCTGCTAGGTAGCTCTTCTGCTGGTCTGCATCTGATATGGTCTGCTGAGCTGTGTGCTGATCTGGAACTGCTGCTGGTCAGGTTGCTGTTGTGTTTCAAGTTCATGCTGGATGCTTCAATGGGATGAATGTCAATGTGTTAGGTGGTTGGTTTTTTGGTGTCATTGGGAGGAATGTCAATGGCATGAATGCACATGGGTTGATTGTCAATGTTGTTTTCCATATGCAACTACTGTTGCTTCCTCTACTTCTCCTTCTCTCTCTTTGCCACATCTTCATCAATTTTTCTGGCCTTCTTCTACTTTTTCTGTATCTCAGATTTCTTCTTCTTCTCAACCTTCTCTTTCTCATTCTTCTTCTCCATCTCCTTTTCTTTTATCTGTGTCTCAAGCTTCCTCATCTTCTCCTCATCCTTTCATTTCCTCTCCTCATGCTATTCCTATTACCTCTCTTACTATTGATCTTCCTCTACCTTCTGCTCCCTCTTCTTCCAATATTCACCCTATGCTTACCAGATCCAAGACAAAACCTCCTGTTTGTCTTACTGCTGTATCAGATTCCTCTTATCTTCATTCTGAACCTCCCACTGTTGCAGCTGCCTTAGCTTCTCCTGTCTGGTTTTCTGCTATGCAAGAGGAGTTTCAAGCTCTGCAACAACAATGTACTTGGGATCTTGTGTCCCTTCCTTCCCATAAAACTGCAATTG